TCAAAAGTACGTAAAAATGCAAGTAGAAAAATAGGAAACACATTTGGTGGGAAGATAACAGCGTTCTGTGAGCCTTTGGCATTTAGTCATGCCGGCCACATGACCACGGAGACGTCTTTGGACAGCCCTGGCTCTTCGGCTTTGAAACGGAGATGAGCACTGCCCCTAGAGCCAGGAACGACTAGCACATATGTACGAGGGCAACCTTTACCTTTACTTTATGCCTTGGAAGCTACTGAATCTGTTTAAAATAGGCACAGTCCCTAAGCCATTGCTTTTACTGCTGAATAATTCTTACCATAAGAAAGGTTGCCCTAACACTCAGTTGGAGTCTGCCTTCCTCTGACTTCAGATTTACTGGTCCACGCTGTGCCTTCTGGGATGATGGAAACAAGACCCCTTCTTTTCATACGTTTGGAAACGGCTGTCTTATACTATCCACTCAACCGTGTCTCCTTGTCTTCTCAAGACTAAATGTTCCCAGTCTTTTTTTCAGCCTCTCCTCATTGGTGTTTTTTAATTGTATTTTAATGGGGTTCTTGAGTTTCAGGGAGAGCCAGGTCAAGAGTACGTTTCATGTTTCAAAGAGCCATCTTGGAGTACATTCAAGATCACATTACAAAAAGCAGGATGTTGAAAATCACTCGTACCTCATAACAACTAGAGCCATGTTATTATAGTATTAAGTACTCATCCTTTTTAAGTAGAGGGAATAATGCCTTCAGTATGCATGCCAAATGTTATAGGACCATTTAATTGATTATAATCATTGTCCAGTATGTAGAACCAGAAAGCTGATCAGCCAGGGACCTGTTCCAATGCAATCAGCACCCGGGATATAAAACCAGAGTTGACCCAATATGACTGAGACACACTTTGATCGCTTATCTCTTCTTTCGCATCCAGACTGGCCAGTTTGAGCTGCGAGATGAGGCCACAGCAGCCGCCTGTTGCCAGCAAAGTCTTCATCCAAAGGGACTACAGCAGTGGCACAAAGTGCCAGTTCCAGACCAAATTCCCTCCAGAGTTGGAAAACCGGGTGAGTAATCCCTAATGGTAGTTGTGAATGGTATGTGGTGGCTCAGTAGCTAAGACGCTGAGCTTGTCAATCAGAAAGGTTGGCGGTTCGAATCCCTAGTGCCGCGTAATGGAGTGAGCTCCTGTTACTTGTCCCAGCTTCTGCCAACCTAGCAGTTCAAAAGCACGTAAAAATGCAAGTAGAAAAATAGGAACCACCTTNGTGGGCTTGAAGCACTTCCCTTGGGTCTATCAGGGATTTTGCAATATCCCTGAGACCAGCAAGGCTTTGTCTTCCTGATCATTGTCTCTACGGGATGGTTTAGGTCTCAATGGACCCCCCTCCCCAGTGGCAAAAATGTCAATGGCGGTCTCAGATTATCGATAACTCACGTTGTAACATCGCGACGAGGATCCTCCTTCTCCTGACTCCCTCTTTTTTGTGGCAACCCCTGAGATATTGGAACACTGTTATCTAGGGTATCTAGAAGTGTAGTTGCAAATATTAGCCCCAATGGCAGAGTTGTAAATAGAAGCAAAATATCTCAAAGAGAGCCTGGCAGCTCTCCAAGCCAGATAAGGTCTGTGACTCTAAATCCTCCCTTGAAAGACTTTGCCGGCTGTGAATGAGCAGAATTCACTGTAAATTAATAAAAGGGGTTTATGTCGGGACGAGGAGTTTGTTTCATGGTCTTGGGAAGCCTTGGTCAGAACAGAAAGTTTACCAGAAACTTCATTTTCCTCTTGAAAAAAGCACCTTTGGGTCTAACCCAATGATTTTCAACCACAGCAACTTGAAGATGTGTAAACTTCAACTTCCAGAATTCCCCAGTGAGCAATGCCAAGATTGAAAAACACAGGTCTAATATAAGGCAGAGATATACCCCCAGCCTGTGAAAGGGGGGGGGGACATGTCTCCAAAAAGTACAGAGGCAGGATAAAGAAGATATTTCTCCCGCTCCCTTTTCCATTCGTTGGTGGTGGTTGCTTTTTTGCTAAAGTCTTCAAGCTGTGTTAAATTATCCACTTTTCTTTGTGGGTTAGCTGTCTACCACCAAAGGCAGAAATGGAACCTTGGACAAATCCAGAGGCCACAAAACAAGCACTTGGAGTTGAGCAACCCATTAACATGTCTGCCCTCCTGGATAGACAGGGATGCTGAGTGAAGCATGCTGAATTGCTCCACTGTTTGACTTCGTTCATGCAAACTTTAGACAAGTGTCTAAAGCAGGGGTGTCAAACTCAAAGCCCAGGGGCCGGATCCGGGGTGCTTAGATCTGGCCTTCAGGGCCACTCTGAAAAAAGAGAAAGACCGGCCTGTGGTGCCTCTGCCAGTGAAAATGTTTCTTGAGCACCATGTAGACACCTTCTGGACTTCTTCCCTGTATGCTGATTCGTCCCCTCCAGTTATGAGACCCAGCACCGTTGTGTTCCTTAGCGAGCTTTACTGGTTGATTGCTTGCAAAACAAACTGCTGAAGAATCGGAGAGTGAAGAGGTGGGG